GTGATGCTCAAGGTGATATAACAAAGGCCTCTACCTCACATAGAGCAAGAAATGCCAGATGTTCAAACTGGATTCTGAAAAGGAAGAGGCACTTGAGGTCTCAGTGTGAACATTGTTGGATATGGGAGAGCTCCAGGGAATTTTAGGACTTTACAAACTACAGTAAAGCCTTCCACTGCGTGGACCTTGAAAAGCTCTGGGTTGCTCTGGAAGAACTGGGTGTGTCCCAGCACTTGATTATCCTGAAGTGTAACTTGTGTTGTGGACAGAAAGCCACTGTCAGGATAGAATACGGACACAGAATGGTTTGCTGTCGGCGAAAGTGCATTTTATCTCCCTATTTGTTTAATCTGTACACATACTGTTGCATATAAAAAAACTGGGCTAGACTACATTCAGAGGAAGAAGTGAAAATTGATGGAAGAAATATCAATAAGTTAAGATATGCAGATGGTACTTTACTTGCAGCAAGTACCAATGATTTGAAACAACAGAAGAAAGTGCCAAATCAGGACTTCATTTGAATACCAAGAAGACAAAAATCATGCCTATATAAGAAATACACAACTTTAGCATCGACAAAGGAGTCATCCAAATTATTTAAGGTTTTGCTTACCCTGGTTCAGTCATCAATTCAAATGGAGACTGCAGCCAAGAAATCAAGAGAAGGCTGAGACGCCGCACAGGGCTGTGAAAGAATCAGGAAGGATCTTCAAGGACAATGATGTGCCATAGAGAAGAAGGCTAAGATCATCCACACCCTTTTCCTCCCAATTGCTAAGTATGGATGCAAACGTTGGACAGCAAAGAAGGGTGATAGGGAAAAATATTGGTTCATTGGAAAGATGGAGCTGGAGAGCTTTACAGATACCCCAGACTCTCAGGAAGGGGAACAAGTGGGTCCAAGAGCACATTAAATGGGCAATAATGACAAAGTGTACATACTTCTATGTCTGTTCTTTGGAAAAAGACAATGATGCTGGGGAAAATAGGAGGCAGCAGAAACGGGGGAGGACTAAGTCTGAGATGGGCTGACTTCATAAAAGCAGCCATGGGCCTGAGTCTGCAGGAGCTGAGCAGAGCTGTTGAGGGCAGGACATGGGTGTTACTCATTCATGGCATCATCAGGAGTCAGATTGACTCAGTGGCACATCACACACATGTCACTGCTTAATGGAAATAGGATTAAGGCCAGAGTTTAATAGGCATAGGGAGCTCAAGATCCCAGACTATCTCAGTTATTCACTCATCTCTGTCTCCCACTGAATGACCAGCACGATTGTGCACTGCACAGCTCCAGGTCATACTGTTCATTTAGCTTATGATGAGAGTGGCACCTGGACTTAGGCAACGTGGCAATCCTGTAGGTCTTCACCCTCAAACCTCAGGGAGAAGCAGATTTGGAAGGAGCCCTTGGGCTTTGGGAGGACGGAAGAATGAATGCAGGAGATTGTTAGATCCCCACCGGTTGTCTTGAGCTCCTCCTCCAGGGAGACTTGGGCAGCTCCTCGGAGTTTGCCACCAGTGGATGCTGAGCTAGTTCTGGGGCACGTGCCACTGATCCCTTCAGTAAGGGGACAAGCAGTGGTTGTTCTGAGGCATCAGGGGGTGAGGGCAAGAAGGGAGTTGAACTGCTTTGCTTATCATTATTGCTGACATTCTCTGCCAGGCACCTTCCACCCAGGCTACAACTCCTCCCCACACTAGTTCAGACCAGTCCATTTTCCTATGAGTTTTCTAGATTTTCTTTAATTAATGTCCAGGATTCTGTGTTTCTCCAGAATCCCTCTGTGTAAGGAACCAACAACTACTGCTAATTTTCCATATTGGCAGAGCCCCAGAGTAAATCTTTCTCACCCTCCTTTTTTTAAAAAAAATTTTTTTCTTTTAAAAATTTTACTTTTTTATTACAATAGTAATACATGTTTATTTTAGGTAAACAAAAGCAATTTATAACTACTACCCAATTGTAACCACTGTCAACATTTTGGTGTTTTCTTTTCACATTTAGTTTTTAATTACTGGATTTTTTTTTGTTATTTACCCCCCTCGCCCAATTACAGCTGATATTCAGTATTATTTTATGTTAGTTTCAGGGTATAGCATAGTGGTTAGACAATTATATAACTTATGATTCCCCCCCTTCCATCTATGAGCATAGAATAGCTTTCCTCTTATTTGTGTCTTCTTCAATTTCTTTTATCGGTATCTCATAATAGTCAGTGTAAAAGTCTTTTACCTGTTTGTTTAAACTGATTCCTAGGTATTGTATTCTTTTAAATGCAGTTGTAGTTGAAGTTGTTTTCTTAATTTATCTTTCTGATATTTTGTTGTTAGTGTATTAGTACATTCAACATATTTTTGTATACTGACTTTGTCTTCTGCAGCTTCACTGTTTGTTAGTTCTAACAGATTTTAGGTGGTGTCTTTAGGGCTTTCTATATTTTATACTAGAGGCCCGATGCATGAAGATTCATGCAAGAATAGGCTTTTCTTGCCTTGTTGCGTCAGTTTGTATATTTCCTCCTTATTGGTGTGGGTGTAGCCATTTTTGTTATGGAGTTGTGGTCAATTTGCATATTATGTCTTTATTAGATAGAATTGTGTCATCTGCAAATAGAGACAGTTTTACTTTTTCCTTTCTGACTTAAGTGCCTTTTGTTTATTTTTCTTGCCTAACTGCTTTGGAGAAAAATTCTAATGTTGAATAAAAGTGGCAAGAGTGGGCATCCTTGTCTTTTTCCCAATCTCAAAGGAAAAGCTTTCACCATTCAGTATGTTCTTAGCTGTGGACTTATATATACTAGAGGCCCGGTGCATGAATTTGTCATGGATGGGGTCTGGCCAGCGTGCCCAGATGGGGGCCAATTGGGGCTGGGCTGGTTGGGGAGGAGGGACCACAGGAAGTTGGCCGGCCCCGCCCCAAATGGGGGATGATCTGTGGTAGGGCCCTCGGGGGCAGGGCTGAGGGAGGTTGGCTGGCCGGCCCTACCTCTGGTGAGGGTGGGGGGCGCCAATTGGGGAGGGGAGTGTTGCCTGGGGGGAGGGGCTGCAGGCAGTTGGGGGGTGCCAATCGGGCCGGTTGGCTTCCACAGTGTGCATCATAGCAATCAGTCATTCCAGGCATTCCAGTCACTTGGCTTTTATATATATAGATGGCCTTTATTTTGTTGAGCAATGTTCCTTTTATACCCTTTGTTGAAAGTTTTATCATGAATGTATGATGAATTTTGTCAAATGCTTTTTCTGCATCTATTGAGATGACTGTATGTGTTTCATCCTTCATTTTGCTAATGCTGGTATATCACATTGATTCGTGGATGTTAAACTATCCTTGCATTCCTGGAGTGAATCCCACTTTATTATGGTGTATGACCTTTTTAATGTATTGTTGAATTTGTTTTGCTAATATTTTTTGTGGATTTTTGCATCTATGTTCATCTAACTCTGAATTTTAAAAGAATCATCATCTGTCATCTCATGTCTCCTTCTTTCATTTCTCTATTTGTGAAATTCATGTTTCTTTCTCAGCATTGTCTTTATTTTCTTCCTTCTTATTGCATTTATTGGGGTGACACCAGTTAACACAATCATGCAGATTTCGGGTGCATAATTTTGTAATGCATCATCTGTACACTGTATTGTGTGTTCACTACCCAAGTCAAGTCTCTGTCCATCACCATTTTTCACCTCTATACCCTCAGCCACCTCCCCCACCTGCTTCTCTGCAGCAATCACCACACTGTTGTTCTTGTCCATAAGTTTTTTCTCTTTTTTCTACATTTTTTGCTATATCCTTCCACCCCTCCTACCATTGTCCCACTACCCACCAACTGCTGTTGGCCTGTCCCTATTTTGCTTGTTCAAAATGTTTGCTGATTCTTGACTGTACTCATCTCAGTTCCCAAGGCCTCTGTTGGCTTGGCTGCCAGGGCTGTTTCTGTTTTTTCTGATTGCCCCTGAAGTTGTGGACAGAGGCTTGAGGTCCCGCTGGTCTTCTGGGCCTCAGGGCTCCCATGTCTCCTGACTATCTACTCAGAGCTTCCCCCACCTCCTTAGGCTGCATTGAGTGCTCTAGCTTTGGGGTAAACCCTGCTGCCTTCTCCCTGTTTTTAGAGGTGATAGGGAGGCCAACTTGGCCAACCTGCCCAACTCATCCAGTAGAATTCCCCCCAAAAGGCAACCTCCTTGGCATCACCAAGGACCCTTCTGCTCCTTGTCTGTGTGACTGCTAAGTGTGGTGCATGCTAGTCACCCTCCCACTTTGTACAGAACCTTCTTCTGTGTCTGCTTTGGGCCGTGGTCTCCTCGAGCCATCGGATCCCCCTCTGCTTTCTATCTTTCAGAAGTGGGGGCCTCACCTTTCACCCTCTCCAAATGACCCTTGTCTTTGTAGTCACAGCCCTGAAGACCTTGGGAGGCCCCACACTTATGGTTTTCTTGATTCGTCTGATCCCCCACTGCTTTCGATCTTTCAGTATTTCTCCACCTTTCTGGGCCAGTGAATACATTCTTTCTTGCCTTCCAGTGTTATTATGGGTGTGGGTGTGTGTTTTTGTTTTTTGTTTTTTAAAAATCCTTCTGTTGTTTCTGGAGATTTTGGTGGAATGGAGGAGTCAACAAACTAGAGTATCAGAACCTGTTAGTTATTAAGAGCATAGTTCTGGAGTCAAATACACATGGATTTGACTCTCAGTTCTTCCTCTTACTAGCTATGTGCCATTTTCTTACTTCTCTGAGCCCTTCTTTTCTTATCTTTTAAATGGGATCATTATTATCGTGACACTTCAATGAGCTCATGCACTCAAGCCCTCAGCAGAGCCTCTAGCAGAGTGAACACTCGGTGTTTAATCTTTTGGTTAGCTTTATCATTGTTTTTATTCTTGTTTCTGATTAAACTGAGCCTAGTTAGTTGAAGTCCATCCATGTTACTTAGATTCAACCCCCTCTTGGCCTCACCAAGAGCAAGTAGGCTGATGCCTCCTCCTCTCTTCCTACAGCCCAGCTCCATCGGCTGGAGGGGCTGAGGACCATCGGCGTCACCACCAATGGCATCAACCTCGCCCGCCTGCTGCCTCAGCTCCAGAAAGCTGGTCTCAGTGCCATCAACATCAGCCTGGACACGCTGGTGCCAGCCAAGTTTGAGTTCATCGTCCGCAGGAAAGGTGACCATGCAGCTCCCAGGGGAGGTGCCTGCCCAGGCCCCGGAGCTGGGGCTGGGGCCAGAGGCCTGGGCTCTCACTCTTGGGGTCTTGGCTAAGGAAAAGCCTGGGCTTCACCCCTCACCCTCTCTAAATGCCCCTTGTCTTTGTAGCCACAACCCTGAAGACCTTTTGGGGTCAGATGCCAAGAGCTATGGTGACCAACTTCCCCGTGCTCTGTCCCCAGTTTGCTCATGTCTAAGAATTTCATTTTGAAACCAAGATAGCCCCTGGCAATCTGGGCTGAATTGGTTGCCTGATGAGTTTCGAAGAAGTGTGGGGCCGCCCAGGGTGGAAGCAGCAGCCCTGAGGTGCCAGGGTCGGGACCGGCACTGCCAGGTGGAGGTCCCCCAGCAGCCCCCAAGGGTGTTCCCTGTGCCCATTCTGGGTGTAAGCCTCTCCCTTCACCCCTGCAGCAGGGACTCGCACAGCCTCCTCCCACTGGGCTTCATCAGGGAGGGCAGAGCAAGACGGAGATCCACCAGAGTCCCCTGTGGTCTCAGGCCGTGGGCTTCACATTGGGACAGAGGCTCCGGCCTCTCCCTGTGCCTCCCTGCTCACAGTCCTCCCTGTGCTGAAGTGCCCCCAAGGCCTCGCCCTCAGCGAAGCCTGCTCCAGGCACTAGGAGGGGACAGACAAACAGGACATTGCCCTGCAGGACAGGTTCCTGAAAAGGTGTGAGGCCACTAGGTTTGTTTAGTGGTGTCCATTGAATTGCCAGCAAGGGAGAGAGAGCTATTGCACATTCCTCCTTTTGCCCTCCTTCACCGGGCCAGAAATGCTGTGAAGACATCCTTTCCCTCAGCTGACATCCCTGCTAGGAATCCCACATGATCTGCAGACAGCGGACTGTGGGTGGGTGAGTGAGATTAGCAGGTAGTGGGTGCAGGAGTGAGCTGAGGGGAGGACAGGCCAGCCTGGGTGAGAACAGAGACAGGTGAGAACCACATGCATGGGAATCGCTCACCGACCCTGACACAACCACGCACAGTAGGTGCTAGTGAGAACGTGTAGATTGTATGAACAGAGGGGCCGTTGGGGAGGAGGCCTGGGTACAGGTCAGGAGCCTGTGTTCTGAGATGCGGTGTGTGGCAGCCAGCAGGGCCCTACTTCTCTGGGCCTCGGTTCCCTCAGGACTGAGAAGGCTCCCCAGGTCTGCATTGCACACTACAGCCTCGGGGTCAGACCCAGCCCCGCCTGCTTTTAACAGCCTGTGAACCACGAATGGACTTTGTAGGTAACATATGCAGTCAGTTTAATGATAGGGAACATTAACTACGAACCCCAAACCAAGCAAAATATTATCCTTGTAAAAATAATTAATTCCTTCCATTCCATACGTGGGCCTGTATTACCAAAAACTATTCTCAATCATTATCATATTCTGAATTGAGCCAATGAAATCTTTATGACATACGCCTACATAATATCCTCAATTTTGCCTCTTGGCCTGCAAAACCTAGACTCTTTACGACCTGGCCCTTTACAGAAAAGCTTGCAGGCCAGGCCTCTGGTCTCAGAGATGCCTTACTGCTGTGTGCTTCCTCCCAGCCTGTGAGGGAGGGGCCCGGGGAGAGGGAGGAGGTTCCTGACCGTTCCTCTTCCTCCCACAGGCTTCCACAAGGTCATGGAGGGCATCCACAAGGCCATCGAGCTGGGCTACAGCCCTGTGAAGGTGAGGGGGGGGCCACTGCTTCTGTCCCTACTCCCCAGCTTAGCCTTTCCCTGCCAGCTCCCGGCCACCACTTCCCTACCCACTGCGTGCAGCCCTGCCCCTCACACCGCAAAGGAGGGCAGAACTGTGGCACCCATGGATTCCTCCAACCCAAGGAGAGCTGTGGGGTGAAGGGTAGGGACCGGGGCCTCCACTGGAGAGCCGAGGCAGGTCCCAGATCCCCAAAGGTCACCCCTGCAAAACAGCCTCGAGGGTCAGCACTCACGGTCCCTTCACCCCGGGCAGGTGAACTGCGTGGTGATGCGCGGCCTGAACGAGGATGAGCTCCTGGACTTTGTGGCCTTGACCGAGGGCCTCCCCTTGGACGTGCGCTTCATAGAGTACATGCCCTTTGACGGTCAGTGATGTGGGTGCGGAGGGCAGAGGAGGCTGGGCCTGCGGGCAGAGCATGGAGACCCCATGGAGGGTGTGTGGGGCAGCAAGGCCTGGCTCACACTCAGGGTGCTACTGACCTCCGACCCTGCTGTGTGTCTAGAAGCTTCTCCAGAGATGGTGGGTTGGCCCGGGCAGGGCTAGGCTAGGGCTGCAGAGGCATCGGAGGCTTTTAGGAGAGGCCTCCTGGGTCCAGGGCTGTGCAGGAGGGTGGGCTCCTGCCGTGCTGGTCTGGGAACCTCCAACCCCAATACAGGTAACAAGTGGAACGTCAAGAAGATGGTCAGCTACAAGGAGATGCTGGACACCCTGCGGCGGCAGTGGCCGGAGCTGGAGAAGCTGCCCGAGGAGGAATCCAGCACAGCCAAGGTGGGGCAGCCTAGGGCTGGGCAGAGGGAAGTTCGGGAGAGCTGGCGGGGGCCACGGGAGGTCAGCGAGCAGCAATGTAGGGCAGTGCCAGTTAGCAGGATGCCCCTCGGTGCCAGCATAGCGGCCTCTCTTTTCTGGATACAGAGGATATGGAAGCGGCCGGTTGTGGGACGGGGGTAAAGTGACTTGACATAGGACACAGGCCAGTAAGAGGGGGAGGGGTGCTAGGTCTACTCCTCCAGGGGCCTGCTCTGGCCACGGTGCTCCGGTCCCCGTATCCTTAGCTGGTCTCCTCGCAGGCCAGGCACGGGCACAGCTCATCCCCCACTCGTGTACCTGAGTCTTCTGTGGGCTGAGGGCCCTGGGTGCTCCCTTCTGAAGGCTTTCCCGAGAGGCCATGGAGTGAGGGCTCGGGTCGGCAGGGGGAGCGGGCCCTCCCGCCCAGGTTCCGCCACTGCCCTTCTCCCTCCTCGCCCAGACCTTCCGCGTCCCTGGCTTCCGAGGCCAGCTCAGCTTCATCACGTCCATGTCTGAGCACTTCTGTGGGACCTGCAACCGGCTGCGCATCACAGCCGACGGGAACCTCAAGGTGAGTGTCCACGTCCCTCCCACTGGCCCCGGGTGGAGGAGAGACAGCGGGGCACACGGGGTCGGGGGGTGAAATAGTGTCAGCTTTGGGGAGGTCATGGGAGCATCAGGGGAAGGTGAACTCATGGCATTCATGGGACCTCCCTTCCTCTCACTCCCTCCCTCCCTCCCTGTAACTTGCAGCTGATTGGGTGCCACTTTCCAGGACTTGGTGCTACCATGGTGGGGGAGGTGGTGAAGAGTCACTGTGCACATTCCCCCCCCCCCCCCCCACACACACACACACCTGGCCCCTTCAGCCAGCCAGGGCTCAGCTCTGAAACCAGCCTCGTTACTCATGTCTAATGAGCATGTGCTGCGTGCCTGCCCTGAGGGATGAAAGGGAGCCATAGACCTGCCCCCTCCCCCCGTTAGGGGCGCACAGGCTCCTTGCTAAGACCAAACAAAGCTGTGAATGTGAATGTGCGCAGGTGCAGGATTCTTGGTCCAATGAGTGATGACCTAAGGGTGATGGCTATAGGGGGTGGGCCTGAGGACAGTGCTGGACCTCAGTGAGCCTGGAGGATGGCTGGGTGGAAGTGAGGGCAGGGGAGGAGGCATGAGTGAGGGCAGCATCCTGGGCAGATCACAGTTGGACCCGGGAGAAGCATGGTAGGGGCTCGAGTGCCCAGGGAGAAGGTGCGGAGTGTTCTGTTGACCGGGCTGTGCAGGGTTTCTGAGCAGGAGGGAGACCCGGTCCCCTGTTCACGTTTTAGGAAAAATAGCCTGCAGGTGGAAGCTGGAAATAGGAAGACTGGTTAGGTGGCCATTTTGCAATGTCCCAAATGTGCAAGAGGGGGCGGAGAAGGTGGGAAGGAGGAAAGGGGATGTGGTCGTGCAGGTGGCGGTGGGAGAAAGGCGTCAGGGATGTCCACTCTGGGACCCGGTTAGGACTGAGGGGCGGGATGGGGGAGGGGGTTTCAGATGCTTCAGGTTTGCCATCCAAAAGGAACCCTTCAGCTGTTACTAAAAAGCAAAAAGGTTTTCCTGGGCTGGGATTTAAAGTGGACCTGAACTGTGGGTGGTGAGTCGGGGCCCTGCAGGAAATGGAAGGTGGGGTTCACCGGGCTGAAGGAGCAGGTGAGGGGAGCTGTGCGGGGTGTTGAGGCACCCCATGAGCAGCAGCTGGACCCCTCCTGGAGGGAGCAGAAGGGGAGGTGGTGCCATTGGGGCCAGTGAAAGCGGAGGCTGTGCAGTTGTCATTATGGAGGGAAGCAGCCGCTCCAATGAGTCAGTCAGAGAGGGAGGAAGCAGGGAGCAAGCGCCAGCCTCTTTCCTCTCACGCTCTCCTCTCCAGCAGCCCAGGCCCAGGCAGAAGCAGCTGGAGGGGCCTGGGAGGTGCAGTCTGGGCCTCCTGGAGGCCGAGAGCGGGGGAGAGTAGAATCCGGGGCCTGGTGGGGAGTGAGGATGGGAGCAGCTCGGTGAAGTAGGTGGACCTTTTGCTTGGATTTCACTCCTGTCTTCTCTGGTGGTCTCCGCCCTCAGGGGCTCCGCAAACATCCTTCTGACTCTGAGTCCACAGAGCCTTGTATAGCGCTGGCACATAGTAGGTGCTTTATAAGGTTCTGTGGGAGGGTGGTGGGTCTCTTTCTTTCTGGAGCCCCCAGAGCTCCAGCCTCTCTCGGGGCTGGGAGCCCTGAGTCAGTGTGACTGACCGCAGGGTGGCCTCCCTCAGCCATCTACTGTCCGCTCTGGCGTGGGACAGGGCAAGCAGGGGATGTCCACGAGATGGGACCAGGAGGGCCCGAGGGAGAATGGGATGTGCAAAGGGACTTGCTAGGTCTCAGCGAGGACTCCTCAGGAGGCCATTCCAGGGAAGGACCCAGAAAAGGGTGCATTTGGATGGCTGTCTCCATGAGCAGCGATTCCATTTTTTAAGGTGCATTCTCCACGCTGAAGGCGACAGGGTCATAAGCCAGAACCAGGCCAAGGACGTCTGAGTCTGCTTCCTGCCCTCCAGCCTGGCTCTTCCATCTGACGCCTTCTGCTCCTTGTGCTGAGAAGTCCTACCCTGACTGTGCCTGGCCGTGGGAGGCCTGGACACTGGTCCCAGCCCAGAGGGTTCTTCAGGGATGGGCCAGGCGAGGGATGGAGGACAGACGCACATTGTCCTCATCCTGTGACACCCCCTCAGGTCTGCCTCTTTGGGAACTCCGAGGTCTCCCTCCGGGATCACCTGCGGGCGGGGGCGTCCGAAGAGGAGCTGCTGGGGATTATCGGGGCGGCTGTGGGCAGGAAGAAGCGGCAGCACGCAGGTAAGGAAGGGCAGGGCAGGCCAGGATGGGTGAGTGGGTCACTGTCAGCAGGAGGGAAGCAGAGTTTGGATGGCTGGGTGGACAAAGCACAGCCTGACGGGAGCTGGGGCCTCAGCGTTGGGATGCAGTGATGGTTCTCCTGGGAGGCTGGCACAGTGGAGACTACAAGAGGCGGGTCCCCGAATTCTCCTGGGCTGTTTTATTGGTGGGGAAAGGGGTGTCATTGCCTCTCCCTCTCTCCCCACACACAGCCTCTGTCAGGGCAGGGCCTGGCGTCAGACTTCTGGGCTCGGTCCTAGGGGGCCTGCAGTACACAGTGGGGGCTTTGCCAGGTGCTCCTGGGTGAGTGCATGTCCACGGGCTGTCACCCCACTATGTCATGTTTGTGTCACGACCTGTCCCTCCTTCTCTCTCCTCCCCCGCTCTCCCTCCCCACCCTTCCCTCACCCCAGGCATGTTCAGTATCTCCCAGATGAAGAACCGGCCCATGATCCTCATCGGTGGGTGACCCAGCAGTACGTAACCACTCACCCTTGTCATTGGGGTTCCGTGGGGTGGGGCCCCCTGCCACAAGGCACCCCTAGATCCTGCATTTCATCCCGATGCTCACAGCCCCGTTTTTCTTCTGCTCCCCTTCATCCTGTCATGCCCCTCCAAGCTTTGACTGCCTCCGCTCTTCCCTGCACACACCCCTCACCCAGCATGACGCAGGAATAGTCACTGTCTCACCAGACACTTGGGGGGTCCTCAGATTTAATGATCACCAAGCTGCCCCCCAAATGTGGGGCTCCTGGTGAAGGCAGAGAGCTTATCCTGGGCTCGGGAACGTTCTAGCTCAGGAGCAGTGACAGGTGTCTCCTCCCCTCTGGAATGTGGGCCCAATCCTGCATCGGGGCCACTGGCCCCCATTGGGCAGTGTGTCGCCAGCTTCTGCGCAGGGCAGAGCATGAGCAGCAAGCTGAGAGTGCGACTTTCAGGTTTCTTAACTCCCAGGAACCATGCGATGAGGACCTCTCTCATTGGGTGGGATGCCGCAAACAGAACACCTCTCATACAGAGCTGCCCGCGGTGTCTTCTCCCTTTCTCGGCTTTGTGCTCTCCATTCCTCCGCCAGTGGTGTGGGCAGAACCGGAGTCGGGGAGGGAGGGTTGTGAGAGGAGGTGGGGAAAAGATGCCCTTTGCCCTGAGTCTGTCTTCCCCTTCCTTCTTGCCTTCCAGAACTGTTTCTGATGCTCCGAGATTCCCCACCAGCCATTCCAAGCATTTCCTCTTGGGACCCACTCGGCGTTCAGGGCCTGAGACGCAGCGTGCGTCTCTCCAACCAGGGGGCGACCCTGTGGAAGGGCTGCCGGGTGCCCCAGACGCCTCCCCTCGCACAGCGGGGGCTGGGGGCTGGCTCCCCTCAGAGACACTACTCCTCCCACCCGGACTCCGACGCCAACCCTCAGTGCCTTAGCCCCGCGTCCCGGGCTCCTGCCGCCCACTCAGGACCGCTGCCCGCCTCGGACCAGCTCACCCACGTGGACACGGAAGGCCGGGCAGCTATGGTGGATGTGGGTGGAAAGCCGGACACAGAGCGCGTGGCCGTGGCCTCCGCCGTGGTCCTCCTGGGGCCGGAGGCCTTCAGACTCGTCCAGGAGAACCAGCTAAAGAAGGGAGATGCCCTGGCGGTGGCCCAGCTGGCCGGAGTCCAGGCCGCCAAGCTGACCAGCCAGCTGATCCCCCTGTGCCACCACGTGGCCCTGAGCCACGTGCAGGTGCGGCTGGAGCTGGACGGCGCACGCCACGCCGTGGTGATCCGGGCCTCCTGCCGGGCTCGGGGCCCCACCGGGGTGGAGATGGAGGCCCTGACCTCAGCCGCGGTGGCCGCCCTCACCCTGTACGACATGTGCAAGGCGGTCAGCAGGGACATCGTGTTGGGGGACATCAAGCTCATCAGCAAGACGGGGGGCCAGCGGGGAGACTTCCACCGGACCTAGAGCCCCTGCCCTCTCACCCGCGGCCCAGCCGGGTCACGAGGGAAAGACGTCTAGTTCCTCTAACCCGTCACTGTTGACCTTCGCCGGTAGGAAGCCCATGGTCAGCCCATGCCTTCCTGCTGATGGTGACCGGCGAGGTCTCCTCTATTCGGAGAGAAAGCAGCAGGCCCTTCGCCTTCCTGGACACCAGGTGACGGGAGGGGTCACAGCGGGCGATGCTAGATGGCAGAAGTCAGCTGTGTCATCTGCAGGCCATTCAGATGGCCAGTTTCGTGGCTCGCTCTGGGCTTTCTCTCCTGCTGCTTCCCTGGGGAGAGGAGGAGGCTCACAGAGCAGAGGAAGCCGCTGCGAAGGGAATGCACAGTGGCACTAAGAAGGTACGGGACTTCTCGTCTGGGAGTCACAGCCCTTGCCCGCCCTGCCTCTCCGCCCTCCGCCCTCAGGAGGAAAGCCAGGCCCTTCAGACCTGCGGGCTTCTGGTTTAACAACGCACAGTCCTGCCTGCTCCCTGACCTTCGCCCCCCTAACAGGACCCACAGGGCTGCGGCCCTCAGGACTCCTGACCAGCCACTCAGGTGGCCCCTGGCCCCTGCCTGCACTGCTGTCCCCCCACACCACCCCTTTATTCTGGAACATATCAGGGAAAGAAGAGAGTTGGAGGTTGCCTTCACCCTCAGCGCACAAATAAAGCCTGGATGCCAACTTCGGAGACGCGGGAATGAGGACGGTCTGTGCACAGGGCTCGCAGCCGCTAGGATTTCATGCCCACCCTGCACCCACCCAGGCCATGCCCCCGGGGAGAGGAGCAGGAGGGTGCTGGAGAGGCCGCAGGTGCACGCCTACCCTCCATCCCCATTCCCTGTGGGAGTGGTGGAGGCGAGCTGGGTGTGGAAGGCTGACGGTAAGACGGTCGGGGAGGAGTCCGAAACTCATCACTGGCCGTTAGAGATCAGGAAGTGGTTAGAGGTTCCTGGGCTTCAGCCCAAACACTGGCCTAGGCTGCTGGGCCCTCGAACGTGGATCCCTCCTTGGGCCTGTCCTTGGGACCTCCCACCTGCCTCCCTCTGCTCAGCCCGGGAAAGGGAAGGCCACACTCCTGATGTCAAGCTTCGGCCCAGGTCAGCTCCTGCAGGCGTCACCGCGGGGCCCTCGGCGCTGGGAGGAGCTGGCTCCCCACACCCCAGCCCCTCACAAGAAGAAAGGAAGCACGGGTTTCAAGGCAGGCTGGGTGGTATGGGTTTTAATATTTTTTAGTATTACAATATATTCTTATAAAAAAGGTGCGGGTCAAAAGGACACTGCCCATTCCGTACATCAGCCTCCTCTGTCCTCTGAGACCGCGGGCGAGAGCCGCCTTGGCAAGAAGGCGGCCCAGTGGGTGGGAACAGGAAGGGCCCGGGGAGCCTGGGCCAGACCCTTCCCGGCCCCCTGGAGGACTTGCTCTTCCTGTGGCCCTAGACACACCTTACTTCCATCACGGAGGCTGGGGGAGGTGGGGGCGTGCTGCAGGGGACAGGTTGCCTTAGTTAAATGGATTTTACATTGGACACAAAATTAGACAGAGGGAGACATTCACCGAGGATGGCGGGAAGGGCCCTGGAAGAGACCAAGGAACACAGGCGTAAACATGAAGCACATCCAGGACCAAGGCGGCCGGCTCCACGGGGCACTGTTCCCTCAGCCAAGTCGGTGGCGATGGTCTGTGGTCCAAGGCACTCGTGGAGATCTGGCTACCGTGGCATCTGGTGCCAGAGCCACTGGCCAGATCTTGAAAACAATAAATAGAGAAGGGAACATCGGGGTGAGAAGCCAGAGCTCTGGAACAATGCATGTGTCCTCTAGAAACAGTGGAGTCCAACTGCTCTCCTGCGCACCCCACTTGTCTCCGTCCGCTTCCGTATCCCTCGTCTTCCATGGGGCATATCCAGTCTCCGTAGCAGGTGGGAAGGCCAGGCTTTGGCACAGCTGTTGGATGGCAATGGAGCCCGACCTGTGCCCTGCCCTGTGGGTTATGTGCACCCCAGCCAGGTGGGGAGAGGAGTCCGGAGGCCCCACGTACCACCTCCCCTCATCCCAATGCCAACCCTCAGCGAGCTCCTGGGTGTGCCGAGTAACACAGCCCTGCAGCTCTTCCCAGAAGCCTTCACCTTGCCCTCCCCTGGGCTCCAGGATGGCCCTGCACCCAGGTCCCGGCCACACTTATGTTTTCTCTAATCCTCCCCCTCAAACCAACACACATGCTGGGCTCACCAACCCTGTTTCTTCCCCAGAAGTTACTATGGCCCCATGTGGAAAAAGAGGCAGCTGGAGCGTGGGCCCAGCCCACCAGTCTGTCCACTGGCAGTAACCCTGAGCCTGAGCCAGGAGCAGGTTAGAAGGGCAGACACGTAAAGGGAGGGTCAGGAGAACAGGAGGCGAGGAGCCCGTGGATGGGGTGCAGACAGAACGGAAGGTGAACTTGGGGAGGGGGGCGGTCATATTAAAAATAAGAGTCCTGATGGAAGTGGCCTCACCTCCTCTTTTAGAAGATGTTTTGCTTAGATACAGCCATCGACTCACCCGCTCAGGGTGCAGAATGGGAAATGGGAATGGACCAGAGTGAGCCCCTGGGAGGCAGGTTGAAGAACCAATCAGGTACCGACGATGGGGGTGGCCGTTCAGGCAGTGCTCTCCCCAGGAAGTCAGCCTCCCCAACTCCATCTGCCCAGCTTCCCCGCCTGCTCCAGCCCAGGTCCGATGGCCTCAGAGGAGGAGACATCTCCGAGATGGTGTGTAAGTGCAGAGGGTAGCCCGGCCCTCAGGACCCTCTCAGGAATTGACCCCTCAGCCAGCCATCTACTCAGGGTTAGAGGGGGCCTCCTGAGTGCTGGACAGGATGGAGGTCCCCACGGCTCCTACCCTGAGGCAGACGTCAGAAAGAGTGCGGGGTCTGAGGAACGAGTGGTAGAATAGAAGGCTCTGGTACGGGGCTGTGTGAGGTCAGTTTCTCAGGACCATGGCCCAGGGTCCCAATGCCTAAGGCACAAAGTATGGTGGTGAGGGGGGGAGGGTCTTTGTTACAACCCTTCCCTTATCAGACTCATAAAATACCTGATGGGGAGCTGTAGCCAGGGAACCCATAGGTGGGTTTTCTGGGATTCTAGGTTAGCAGACAGGATGGAGGTGGCAGTGGGAAGGATGGGGGAGACTTAGACATGTGAGAGGCTGGAGTGAGTGGTGATGGAAAAAACAGGCTCTGCTACTCCGCGTCCTGAGGACTTGGTCCCCGTGGTACCCTCAGCATCTTTCCTGGAGCACGTCTAGGATACATAGTGCCTCTTCCTTTCCATCAGGAGGGCAAGGGGCTCCTAGATCCATGGCCCATCAGCCGCCTCTTGAGGGCTGGGAGCCTGGATCTCTCACCTGGTCTTGGGGTGCCCCCCTGCCCAGGTACTGCCCACCGCACATGAGAGCTGAGCAAGACCCAGGGACCTGTCCAGGCTGGATGTGGGCGGCTCTGTGCCAGCATGTGGGTGCCGAGCCTGCCAGGGAGGTCCCAGCGGGCCTCCGAGAGTGATGCTGGGGCCCGGAGGCAGGACGAGTGATAGGAAGAGGAGAGGGAGCAGCCCTTCAGGTCAATGTGGGAGACACCCGGTCCTGCCTCATGTAGCCACACCCCGGGACCCAGCCCGGGGCTCTCAGCCGAGCACCACGTGGTTAAGTGTCCTGCCACCTCCACGCCGCCCCTGGCCATCCCTGTCTCCTGGCCTCCAATACGGCCAGTGCCCAAGTCAGCAATTCAGCCTGTTGATGGCCCGCTCCCGGGTCACTTCCAGGGCCAGGTTCCCAGATCGCTTGCGGCTGCGCTTGAGCTTGCACAAGTCCTTGTCGAAAACCTCCCCGGAGCGCAGGGCTGACACCAGGTCGTCGAACTCGCCGCCCTCCTCCAGCGTGTTGCCCGCGTGGACCTTCCGCTGCCGCTGCCACCGCTCCCGTTCCCGCTGCTCCTTCAGCTGCAGCGGAGGGGGACAGGCTGAGGCCGGGCAGCCACCCCCAGACCTATAGGCCATGTCACCCAGCAGGGGACCTCCCCCACTGTGTCCTGGATGCCAGTGTTCACCAACTGCCATCCCCACCACCACCACCCAGGATGCCCTGTGCTCTCTCCTCTAAGGCGGAAGACATTCTCGCCCCTGTGGGGCGGGGGGATTGACATCAGTCTCTACAGTGCTTCTTGGCCCCTGTCCTCCTCAAACACCCCAACTATTGACCCCTGGGGACACCCCACTGGGACCTGCCTCTCACCCTGCCTGCCACTCACCATGGCTTCCATGCGCACCCGCCGCTCCTCCTCCTCCTTCCTCCTCCTCATGGCTTCCAGGTCCTGCTGGGCCTCTGAGAAGGCCTGCAGGAAGGTGTCGAAGATGCCAAAGAACTCGTCGGGCTGCATCTTGCTGTCCTGCTCCCCAAAGTGCACCAGGGCCTTGGAGAACTGTCAGGGGGAGAAGAGCTTGGAGAATCACCCCTGAGCACCACGGGCCACATGGTTAGCTGGGTGCCAGCCAGAGCTGAGTCCAGGCCGAAGCTGGGGCGTTTGGCATGGGGTCAGGGCTGGAGAAGGGGAGACCCCCTTGTCAGCAGGGTGCAGACAAGGCTGAAGGAAAAGGTGGAGGTAGACACCCTCAGGACGTGGGGGTCCAAACTGGCTGACGAGGCTGCCCAGAGCCACTTCTGGGCCTTGTCACGGTGTGAGTGCGGGGCAGGAGCTGCCTGGGACCGAACTGCCTGGTCAGAAATCAGAAGGGCCTCAGAGATCATAGTTATTGGGCTAGTTGTCCTGTGCCTTGGTTTTCTCATCTGTAAAGTGGGGATGATGATAATAGAACCTACTTCAGTGTTGCTGTGGGGCTTAACGCGTTAACAGAGGCAACCAGGCACTGCTCTGCAGTGAGAGCACCATCTCTGACCCACTCAGAGTCCTCCAAGGAAGACCTCCCTGCCCTGTGTGTGCTCCATGGGCCCGTGTGAGTGCTCCTGTGAGCATCTCAGCACTGCTGGACCTCAGGCCCCATTCCGGACCCCCTGAAGAAGGACACATGTTTTACTAAAACTCCCACAAACATGTCCACATGCAAGTCAGTGTGAGAGGCAGGAACTGAGGCCGAAGCTAGCACCAGCCATTCTAACCCAATTCTGTCCAGCAAAGCCGGGCAGCCCGGGCAGTTACCGAACCTCTCTGGATCTCAGTGCACGTATCTGTGGAAAGTGCCAATAACCATTCAACAAACCCATAGAGTGCGCAGTGAGCCTGCGGTGAAGCAGTGCGCTGCTCAGCACCTGAAGAATGGGTTAGGATCTTTGCATTAGAGTTGCTATTGCCTCCTTTTGGGAGTGAGGATGTGGTTGGTCCTCGGGGCTCTGCGACTTTGGGTCTGTCCCTCCTGGGGCACCGGGTAGGCGTGGTGAAGGAGCCCCATCGACGTAAGGCTGAGTTGGAGAGGGCTGGGGTGGGCTAGGCTAGAGTGAGCGGAGGCTTGGGCCCCTCACCTTGTCCCGAGCCTCGCTGAGCTGGTCCTCTAGCTCGGAGAAGCTAAAGCTGGACACCGTGATGAAGTCGCTCATAACAGGGACGAATTTGTCGTTTGGCTCCCGCGCCTGGCGTTTCTGATATTCCAGCTCCTGAGGGGGAGAGAGAAGTGCTGGTTAGATTAGTGGTGGGTCACCGCCCTG